TATGTCAGTTTTTCCTAATGAGTGGTAATTTGAGTAGCTGACTAGGCATATGGAAAAAAAAAGAGGAAAAGAAATAAAATGAGCAGCTTTGTTAGATTGGCCTTCATAGGAGGAATTTGGCATTACTTGTTATTTCTCTGCTGAAATCCAATGAAGAGTGAGGTATCTCGTCTCTCCAGGTTCCTGTGTCTTTTCTGTCCAGATGTCCAGTTCCTTTGTCTGAGTTTGCAAATTCCAGGCAAAGTTCTGGTGCCTAATTATTAGAAAGGTATCTCTACGTACTTACAGGGTTGTAAAGAGTTCTCTTTGATGTCAGATCACTTCATAACCAGACCTTTTCCTTGTCTACTATCCTTTGCTGCTTGAAAACGAGCAGCAGTTAGCAGCCTCTCTCCTGTTCACTGGCGTAACGCAGGCAGACAAGCATCTGTCACTGGCGGGAGACTGAGCTCGAGGACTCCACCAAAGCCCAAGCCCCGCCGATTCCACCTGTGTCTGTATATGTGTGCATGTGTAGAAAGGGGTGTGTGTGTGTGTGTGTGTGTGTGTGTGTGTGTACACTTGAAAAGCATCTGTCATTTCCAAAAGTCAGCAGTACAGTACAGTAGTCACAAAAACATACTTTATAACAAATTTATTCATTCAGCAAATACTTAGCACCTGTTATATGTACTTGTATAATGAGAAAGAAAGCAAATGTCCATAATTTTTTTACTTATAAAATTCAGAACTTTATTTATGGACACTGATATTTGAAATTTATATAATTTTCATGTCATAAAATATTTTTTTTTCCCCTCCCAACCATTTAGAAATATAAAAACCATTCTTAGCTTGCAGGTTGTATGAAGATAGGGCCATGGCCATAGTTTGCCAATCCTTGTTCTAGAGAGAACCCTCTGGAAGCCCTGCCGAGTGGGCTTGTGATACACGCAGTGGGTTCCTGTACCTGTTTGCACCTTTGCTCACACCATGCAATTTCTATATGTGTTTTCCGATTGCATTGCTGCACAGTTCTCATTCTGTTCTTTTATCTTTGCTTTTTAACACCACTTCAAATCGAAATGTCTCTCCAATCTGTGGGGTTTTATATTTTGACTCCTGTGATATTTGCTAATGCTGAAAGTGATCATGTCTCCCAGGCAAATTCCCTAAGGCTGGTTGTTACGGAGACTTTGTGTGTTTAGCCTAACTCCAAATGTGAGTGATGGATGTCTTGAAAAAAGTATAAGATTTCATACTTGAATAAACTTTTCGTGAGTGCAGAAATAGCTCTTTGTCAGTAAAACACTGGATGGAAACCGCAAAGGAAGTGCAGACAGCCCCGGCAGTGCCATGGAAAGAAGAGAGAACATGCTGCCATGGTGGCGTGCGTCATGCTTCCGACGGGCGGTTCTGAATCGCTGCGTAGCTCGGCTGTTGGTGGCAAACACACTGGCTGACTCCCTAGAACCAGAAGCTTTCCCGGGTTGTGTTTTCAGCTCAAGATACAATATAGGCGGCCCCTTACCGACTTGTACCGGAGGCTGCTGGTGGATCTTCCATCCAGCTGCTCGTCTTCTCTGGATGAGCTGTTGCCTTTGCATCCGATACGCTCTAGAACTCTCTTCTCTCCAGCCTTTTCTCATGATGGCAAGAGCAGCACAGCCCATTCCAGCACTGCTTGTGTTCAGCTCATCCCACAGAAGGAGCATGACAGTTCCCACACCACACAGGACCTTGCTTTTTTCCAATCGACTCATTCCCTAGAAGGTGGCTGTGGTAACGTGTGGCATAATAGACCAGAAGGAGAAGCGGTTGCATCTTTTGCCTGAGCTCCTGTGCGTCGCTGAGGGCCACAGGCAGTCGTTGGCTGGTAACAGCAGACGGCACTCAGAGGTACCTCGTGGTAAGAGGCGGTTTGTATCATGAGGCAAGGTGGTACCTGAGGAGAAGGAATGGTTTCATCTGAATGGAAACGTGTGTACTCAAAGTGCTGATTCTCTTGGCGTCCCACCCTTCCCGGCCCCTTCTCGACACCTGCCCGACATGCAGACAAGTCCATGCTGACGAACACAAAGCATTTAGGTTCCATGAGGGCGGGGGAGCTCTTCCCAGCCTCGGTCCACTTGGGTTTGGTGTCTGTGCCTTTGCTGAGCACTCGCCGTCCTGTGTTCCTCATTGGAGAGGTCATGTACCTCGCTGAGTTCCCCATGCAGACGGCTTTGTTTTCTGCCCCGAGATGCTAACAGCATTCCGAGAGTAACCAAGAGAATCCTCTCTGCGCATTTTACTGCTGAACCATCTCAGTGCCTGGGTTTGAATAACACAAGAGCAAAGCCCTCTGTGAGCCCAGAAGAGCGTGCACAGATAGCTCACTGAGCTACAAAGCCTCCACATAGAGGTTCCTAAAAGAAACAACAAACTCATAATTCTGTAGACACTTGAGAAAACTGGGTATTCGTAGGTTGGGGTGTCTTTCAGGGACCTGAGAAGATTGTGGTGTGTTAGAATTGCTACCTCGCGGTCTCTCTCTCTCTGCAAGAGCATCTTTCCTTTGCATCCGTTCTTTGTGTTTCCCTCAGTGGTAATTCACAATTGTCAGACATGGGCTTAGGCATTAAGATCCTCCAGCTCCAGCTCCAGTCACAGGGCACGTACTCGTGAACCATGGGAACCACCTGTGCTGGCGAGAAGGAGTCAAAGCGCGCTGGTGGTGGAGCGCAGCGGAAGGGCGCAGTGGGAGTTGTCCGATACCTGCCTAGCAGGGATTCGCACCTGGGTGGAAGGCTGGACTTGGGTTTTACTTCCTGCTTTAAAACCGGCATGCTTTGTCAAGTGAATTTACATGCTAATTTGACAGGCTATATAAAACTCTGAAGGTTGGCTTCAGGCTATTTTTTATTTATATGAATTGTGAACTAGATAATGTAGTTTTTTCCTCTTTAAAAAGTCTTATCTCTTTCTGTTGACATTTTTTCTGTATCAGTCAACTTACTTAGTCCCTGGGTTGTGTGATCAGCTGATGCGTATTTTAGCAAGGGGATGGCTTGAAGAGAGACAAAGGGGGACAGGGAGTCTGTGTAGCGCGGGCGAAAGAGAATGCCGTGACTATCAGTGAGACTGCTGTTGCGCAAATGGGCCACTGTCACGGCGCTGTGTGCCGGTGGCTGCGGGTGTGTGCCCTTACACGGAGGCGGAGCGTCCTTGTCCGTCAAACTGAGGTTGGCTCGCACCAGGAGAGCCTCGAGAAGATTTCTCACCGTGCTGTGTAAAATGTCAACTCTTTTCCAGTATTTAAAGAACAAAAAGACAAAGCGGCCTGGTTTTTGTCTCCTGGGGCAGCTATTTTTTATTTTTCTGAAACTTACCTGATGGGATTCCAGCAAAAATTTGAATGCTAATAGACAAAATTTAAACTTCTTCCCCAAACTTAGTTTCCACACATTCTGCATTTTATATTTTGAAATTCTAAAGTTCCAAATCACATGATTTTGTTTTTTCAGACCAAAAGCTGAAAAAATAAGGCTAGTATTGATTTGATAAGTAGTGATGTTGATAAAGGTACCCTTTGGCGAAAGTTCTCCGGGGCGATTGCCACTCAGGGCTCAGTTATCTGTTAATACAGTATTGATTCTGCTGGAATTTCCAATGGGATATTCCTTTTGATTCTAGTGAGCTGGGTTTGGAGGGCTACTGTGTTAAGCAAATACAGGGTCTATTTATATGCGTTGGTTTGTAATTAAGTTGGCTGCACAAGCAGAGCTTTGCCAGCCCAGTTCAGGATAGTGTTTAGAATCCTGATTTGGAAATTGCTTTATTCAGAAACCCTTTTCCCACTCTCCCACCATGAAAGGGTAGAGCAACCAGCCTCTTCCGGTAAGAATAAGTGAATTATGGAAACCTAAGTTTAGCATTATTGTTTAATGACTTGATTATTTTAAAAGTCTCTTTGGGGCAAAGTTATTCCAGACATTGACTTTATTTAAGGCATATCTCTTACATTCTTCAACTTCAAGGTGCTTCCTTTTTTACACGATTTTATTGCCTCACTGTCAGCCAGCCACACCCATTTGGTGACACTAGCATTTCATTATTTATCCCAACCTCTTAGAGATTTTCTCCTGCTTTTCAGGCTTTGCAGCGAAACGTATTTATTTAAATTAAAATGTAAACCTCACTTAATCCCAGCTATTATGTATGAGTAATTCCTCAAATTTATTAATAACAATAGGACTAACACAGTCATTTAAAAAAAGAAAAAAAAAAAGACCAACACAGTTATGCATATCTGGTTTGTGTCGGAGTAGAGTCGGGGGCATCTCCCTCGTCCCCTTCCCCAGCTGAGGGAAGGAGGCTGAAGCACGTGCGGTTTCAGCTCTGGCACATTCTCTTTGGGAGCAGCTGCGAGAGTGGCCCTGCTCTGTGTGGGGGGCAGAAAGAAGGTGTCTCTGACAGGCCAGGGTCCAGGTTGGAGCTCAGCTCCTGTCCTCGTGGGAAGGCTTAACCTATATATGTGGCATCTGAGTTTCTAGGTCAACATACAAAGACTTGGGCAGTCCATAACAGAGCTGAAATCGGTGTCTAACAAACTCATAAAGCTCCAGAACTTCAGTGTCCCTGTTTTTTATGGGAGACTCTGGAAACTTAATCACTGTAACATTGTTTCTAGGGAGATGTTTATTCAGAAATTCATGTAGGCAACTTGCCAGCTAACTTTTTTTTTCTTTTTCTTGAGACAGTCTCTTTCTTACACCCCCGCTGGAGTGCAGTGGCGTGACCATAGCTCACTGCAACCTCCAACTCCTGGGCTCCAGTGATCCTCCTGCCTCAGCTTCCAGAGTAGCTGTGACTACAGGCACTCGACACCATGCCCAACTAATTTTTTTCTACTTTTGTTACAGACAGGGTCTCACTTGCTCAGGCTGGTCTCAAACTCCTGACCTCAAGCAATCCTCCCACCTCGGCCTCCCAGAGTGCTAGGATTACAGGCGGGAGCCACCGCGCCCGGCCCTGACGTCTTAAGTTATCTTCTGTCTGTTCAGCCTGCCACCCACACAGTACTTAGCTGGGTGCTCAGGCCTCCCAGAAGGGGGAAGGAGAGAACGAGAACCCAGTTCCCAGCCTCGTCTCCTAGCTGCTGTGGGTGGCCCCAAGTGGAGTCCTCCTGGGTGCTGCGAGGGGTGAGCTGTTGATGCTTAACTGCCTTTTAACTCTTTCTCCCATTTTAGGAGGATTCCGGCCCGTCCACTCCGGATGAGAACGAAACCTCCGCAACGACAACCAGCGCCTTCACCATCCAGGAGTATTTTGCCAGGCGCATGGCGGAGCTAAAGAGCAAGCCCCGGGTCACGGCTCCAGGGCTGGACGTTTCAGATACCCAAGTGGAACTGAAAAGGAGAAAGAAAAGAAACAAAGAGAAAACAGGTAAAAATGTAGAGAGTTACCCCCAACCCAAGGCCAAGCTGCCCGAAGAGGAGAAGGGCGAGGCAGAAGGAAGCCGCGAGCGCCCGGCCAAGAAGAAGAGAGCCGCAGCGGACCAGCAGCCCCGACGCCCCCGGCGGGACGAGAGTTCTGACGCTTCTGCCGAGGCTGCCGAGGATCACGTGCAGCCACCTGGTGACCAGGATGCGATCCCAACGCCCAGACAAAGGAGAGAAAAGAAAAAGCTGCAAAAGCCAGTAGAGGGGGCGGTGGACGTTGTGCCAGCTGAAACACCAGTGAAGAAGAAGAAGAGAAAGAAGAAAGGTTCCAAATGAGCTGTCTCCAGCCAGGGCCTCCGACCATCCGCTGTTGGGTGCTGCCGGCAGGCGCCTTTGGCCTCAAGTCAGAGGTAACCCCAGAGAGTCTGGGCATCTTTCAACATGCCGTGGGTTGCCGAGTCTCGCCCTCGCGCCGCATTTCCCCAATGTATATTCCCAGGAGAACTTTTTAATCTTCTAAATCATGGCTCTCGTAAACAAATAAATTTTTTTATAAACTCGGAGGCCTTCACCACGAGTGTTTATTCATGTCTTACGAATACACCAGTCGTGTAAATGTGCACGCATGTGAGTCAGTGTCTCCGTCCGTGTTTGCTTTTGATTCCCTCCAGTAACGACGAATGGGGCTTCCTTCTGAAGGACTTCGTCCAATTAAAGGATTAAGAGGCAATAGCTTGGATTCAGATAGCTCCTTTTGTTGTATAGCCAACCATACATTTTTGCCAAGTTGGAATTATATGATTACATTCCCAAGTCAGAGAAGTTTTGGGTCATGTTGTGTTGGGTTTTGGTCTTGATGGGCAAACTTTTTTAATGCCCTCTCGTCCACTACGCCACGGCAGCCGAGTGTTCTCAGGCCTCCTCCCCACGACTGCAGAGCTTCAGATGTGGACTGACTCTGGGGACAGTGTCAGCTTTCGGCTCTCGTAGGAGACTTCTCGTGGTTCCTGTGCTGGATGTAGGTGGTCGGATGTGTTTTCTTCTGGGGGTCTTGGAAGACAGTTCCCAGAGTGAGCTCTGACTTACTGCTCTTGATCAGAAGGTTTAGAAAACTGAGAGGCTGAGATCACAAAGCGAACGTCAGTCTCAGATTGGGGCTGCCTTATGAAAGGTCTTAAAAGCATAGATATTATATAAATAGTAAAAGACACCTTTCAGCCCTGCCCAAACCAAATGGTGTCGCCTCCTGGTGTTTTTTGTGCCACCTTCTCCTGCCACACCCTGTCCTGTCGCCCTGTGTGCTGGCTACACGCTCCTGGGGCTCACGCAGATACCTGCAGACGCTTCCCACCCTCCCTGGGACACAGAATGAAAAGAAAGCGCACACTAAAGGTTGGAGGTCCAGCCCTGTGGTTTTCTCAGCCTGTGTCCTCTCCTCTGGTGCCTTTTTTCTCATGTCTTTCTTCTTTTCTTCTTCATCCTTGTCTGCTTTTATTTCCCCCTTCCCACTCTCCTCTTTCTTCTAGCTCTCAGTTTTCCTGTACCCCCTTTCCAGCCCCTGTGCCCCGTCCTGCCAGTCTCGAGGCTGCTTGGCCCTGCTCCTGGCAGCCCCGTCAGAGCAGCCGTGGGGTGTGGCAGGGAGGCACAGGCGGCGTGTTGTTCTCCACTTGATTTATAGATTGCTACTGGTAACAGGAACTAAAACTCGCCCACACTCCAGTGACCTTTTGCCCTTGATTTTAACTCTTGAGGTCACACATTAGATAGGAAGCACAGTCCCCAGATTCTTGGAGTGGAGAAAGCGCACGGAGAATGTTTGCTTTTAGTCTCTAAGGATACCGAACAGTGCTCATTGTTTAAAAAGACAACACATGGACACACACAGCCCACAGAGAAGATTCTTACAAATTCAGAGCCTGAGGACTCATCTGAGTTTTATCATGTGCCCCAAAGTTTAGAATCCCAGGATAATAAAGCCCCAAAGATTTTTAAAGTCACTTTTCCCCACAAAGGGCACATGCCCAAGTTATCTCTGCTTGTCCTGTCTTGTATGTGAAACAGATCCAGCCGGGAGTGGGGATGTACGCAAACCTAAAGAGAGCTAACTTGTAAAAATGTATATGGAAATGGGTTTTTTCCTATTGTTTTATAAACTTTAACTGCCTTTACTAATAAAAAATGAGAGCCCGGAGAACATGCTGGATTGTGTGTAGGAGTATTTAGGAGGCAGGTGAGTTGCATTTAGGTCAGCCGTGGGGGCGAGCGGCCGGGTAGGAGGAGCAGAGGAGGGAGGTGCAGCGGGGAGCTGCAGTCCTTGGAGTTAGGAATTCCCAGGCAGCCGCGCCATGAGGTTGTTTACATGCAGCTTTTACAGAGAAGGTAGAATGTGGTGATGGTGGTTTTCATGGGCTGGAGAAAGGACTCCTGAATGGTTCCAATTGAGCGGGCAGCCTGAGAATCAGGCATGTGTTCAGCAAAGGTGAGCAGGGTGACCATTTGCCCAGAAGGAGATGGAGCCTTGTATTTTCTCTAGAAATCCTCAGCTTTCGTTTCTCCTGGGTGTCTCTTTCAGGCCACTTAATTTTCTAATCTCAGTGAAAGTTAGAACAATGAAACAAATGCTCTGAGAATTGCATTTTTGTAGTCTTGATACTTTAAAAATTATTGGCATGTGAACCCTGTTTGCCTTGAGTTATTTCACCAGGTAAAAACACATTAATTTTGTGGTCTTCAGTGCTTTCCTTGGTATCCTTCAATTTTAAGAGGAAAAGTTTGTTCCCAGGAAAATAAGTGTGCACTGAAGAGGTTTCCCCATGCTTTCTTAAGCAACCTTCTTTCTTTTTCTGGTAATTCTAATGAATAATTATTATGATGTGAGGTCTTAGGTGCCTGGTTTTATTCCAAGCACTTTAAATAAATCAACTCACTGAATTCTCAGACAACGCAGTGAGGTAACCATTATCATCGTCCCCTCTTAGAAGAGTCTCTTTCCATTTTCATAACTAGATTTATGATTCCCTGAGAGACCCAGCGATGCTCGAGTCCCCTCTCTACTCCAGGCACAAACTGGCACTCCTTTTCTTCTGTCCTAGCTCCCGCCAAGTCCCACTTCACCTGGTAGGCAAGCTTCCCTGCTGCTGACATTCTTCACATGTCATCATTACTTTTAAGTGGGAATGCATGTGAAAGCAGCTGGCAGAGAGTTTCACAATACCAAAACCAGGAAAGGACACAACCAAAAAAACTGCAGACCAATATCCCTTATGAATATAGATGCAAAAATTCTCAGCAAAATCCTAGCATACCGAATTCAGGTGCTTATCAAAAAAATAATCCATCACGACCAAGTGGGCTTCATCCCAGAGATGCAGGGATGGTTCACCATACTCAAATCTATAAATGTAATTCACATAAATAGAAGCAAAAACAAAGACCATATGATCCTCTCAATAGACGCAGAAAAGGCATTTGACAAAATTCAACACCCTTTTGTGATAAGAACGCTTAACAAAATAAGCATAGACGGAACTGACCCAAAAACGATACAAGCCATATATGACAAACTCACAGCCAACATCATATTAAATGGGGAAAAATTGAAAGCATTCCCAATTAGAACTGGAATCAGAAAAGGTTGCCCTCTATCACCACTTCTATTCAACATAGTGCTGGAAGTCCTAGCCAGAGCAATCAGACGAGAAGGAAATCAAAGGCAGCCAAATAGGGGACAGAAGAGGTCAAACTATCTCTCTTTGCTGATGCTATGATCTTATATCTAGAAAATCCCAAAGATTCTGCCATGAGACTACTGGAATTGATAAACAAATTCAGCAAAGTCTCAGGTTACAAAATCAATGTACAGCAATCAGTAGCATTCCTGTACGCCAACAACAAACTGACAAGCAAATCAAAGACTCAATACCTTTCACAATAGCAACAAAGAAAATAAAATAGCTAGGAATATATTTAAATAAGGAGGTGAAAAACCTCTACAGGGAGAATTATGAAACACTGAGGATGGAAATAGCAGAGGACATAAACAGGTGGAAAACCATACCATGCTCATGGGTTGGCAGAATCAACGTTAAAATATCTATACTACCCAAAGTAATCTTCAGATTCAATGCAATCCCTATTAAAATACCAACATCATTTTTCACAGATCTAGAAAAAATAATTCTATGCTTCATATGGAAGCAGAGAAGACCCTGTATAGCAAAAACAATCTTAAGCAAAAAGAACAAATTAGGAGGCATCAATTTACCAAACTTCAAACTATGTACTACAAAGCTATAGTAACTAAAACAGCATGGTACTGGCACAAGAACACAGACATAGACCAATGGAACAGAACTGAGAACCCAGATATAAAACCATCCTTATATAGCCATATAATCTTTGAATTTGAGATAGTAGTATTTGTATGAGCTGTAGAAAATACTTCCAGATACACTGCACATTAGAAATTCTCAATGGATTTTCGTTTCCAACTTGGTCAAGAGATTGGTGGGAAATTGAGTAAGCCAGCTCCCTAAAACCTGTTTGCGAGTCTGTGAGAAACGACAGAATTTCTTCAATTTGCAGAAAATATCGATGCTGTGGAAAGAATAAACCCAAATGAGCATTTGTTTCCTAGCACAGGCTGTCCTTCCGCCTCTCTCCTCCTCCACCTGTTCACTGACTGGCAGGCGCATGCCGAGACCTGTTTTTAAAATACGAAACAGCATCAGAGAAATGTTTCAGTACAATCTCTCCAAGTGATCTCAGCCCTTGGATCAGCAAGCGGCAGCTGTCTTTGGATTTCACTAAGAACCTCACCGCCACCCTATTTATCTCTCGGGTTCTACAGCCACTGCAATTTGGAGCCTGTTGTGCTGGCGGGTGGGGTGGGGAGGTCAGATTGGGTGCTCCGGTGTGATTTTATAGTGCTCAATAATTAATGAGCAAATTAGTACTATGTCCTAATAAAGAGGATGACTAAACTCCTTGCATAAAAGTATACAATCTGTTTAGGAAATAGTGAATATACTCAAATGACATGCACATTTATGGAACAAGGAAGAGAGTGGAAAATCCAGAAAAAGACAGGTAAGGAAGGGCAAGTGGGAACAGCATTGCTCCTGTGTTCCAGAGTGGTGTAGATCAGCAGTCCCCAACCTTTTTGGCACCAGGGACCATTTTCGTGGAAGACAATTTTTCCACAGACGGGAATGGTTTCGGGATGGTTCAAGTGTATTACATTTATTGTGCACTTTTCTATTGTCACATTGTAATATATAATGAAATAATTATGCAACTCACCATAGGTTGGGACCCCTGGAGTAGATGGTTGGGTAGGTGGTTATGTAGCCTGCGAGAGGAGCCGTTTCCTCCCACCTGCACTGAAGTTCTGTGCGAGCATCAGCAATTAGCTTTTAAGGAAAGCTGCAGTGAATTCTTTAGCTGAGGGAAGAATTTTGTAATTAGTTGTATCTGGAATTTTCTGTGTGTATATTCTATTCTATATTGGGTTTC